CCCAAGACAACGGGTGGACTTGATACCATATGGGTCATCGTCGACAGATTGACCAAGTCTACACACTTCTGCCGATCAGATAAACAGACAAGATGGAGAAACTTACAAGAACTTACATTAAACAGATAGTTCGACTGCATGGTGTCCCTGTATATATTATATCGGATAGAGATAGTAGGTTTACTTTGAGATTTTGGCAATCACTGCAAAGCGCCCTAGGGACGAGGTTGGACATGAGTACAACCTACCATCCGCAGACTGACGGACAAAGTGAGAGGACAATCCAAACCTTAGAGGATATGCTGCGAGCCTGTGTGATTGACATTGGTAAGGCGTGGGATACACACTTACCCCTTGTAGAGTTTTCCTACAACAACAGTTATCATACGAGCATCAAGGCAGCTCCATTTGAAGCCCTCTATGGTCGGAAGTTCAGATCCCCTATGTGCTAGGCTGAAGTGGGTGACACTCAGTTAGCTAAAGGACGAGTTCCTGGCAGCACTCTCACGGGTCCAGAGATCATCCGAGAAACAACTGAGAAGATTGTATAGATTCACGAATGATTAAAAGCCGCTACAGACCGATAGAAAAGCTACGCAGACAAATGAAGAAAGCCTTTGGAATTCCAGGTGGGACACTGTGTCCTTTTGAAGGTCTCACCCTGGAAGGGCACGGTACGCTTTGGAAAGCGTGGAAAGCTAAACCCAAGGTACATAGGGCCTTTCGATATTCTCGCTAGAATCGGCCTCGTAGCTTACAAACTCAACCTACCCCACGAGCTAAGTAACATACACTCTACCTTCCACGTCTCGAACCTGAAAAAGTGCTTATCTGAAGAAACCCTGGTGATTCTGCTGGACGAGATCGAGATCAACGAAAGCCTCAACTTCGTGGAAGTGCCAGTGGAGATTATGGACCGGGAGGTCAAATGAACGAAACAAAGCCGCATCCCAATTGTGAAGGTTCGATGGAACGCCAAACGAGGGCCGAAATTCACTTGGGAGTGCGAAGATCAAATGAAACTCAAATATCCCCATCTCTTTGATTAGTAGTACGGTAATAACTTAACTGCTTGTATTCTAAATTTCGGGACAAAACACAACAAAACTGGACCAAACACACGAAAACTGCTTGTAGCATTGGAAAAACGGACCAAACACACCAAAACTGGTGTGTGCGGCCGCACACAGACCAACCGCACACACTCTTATCTATCCTATCCTTGATCATTTCCTACACTCTTGCAAAGCTAGGACTCAAAAATCCTCTCAAGTATCATCCAGAAAGGTAATCTCTCTCACTAAGAACACCATGTTTTCTGCCAGCACACACACATCTGGTAGCACACACGGCCGCACACTTGTGCTGGCAGCACACTCCAGCCGCACACATGGTCGCACACACATAGTGTATTTTGGCCATACACTCTTTTGTGTAGCCTTTTAACCCTTCGTACGATCATTTATGGTTGTAACACTTCAAAATAAGTGTTTATTAGTCCCTAAGGGGGTCCCAATTCATTAATTAGTTGCTCATAACATTAATTATATTCATACATGTATCAATATGTGCTAAATAGGATTCGTGTGTGTACTCAAGTCACCACTTGATATTTAGCAATAGATCCAACATTGTCATCAGAACCACTCACTGCAGGTGAGTTCATACCCCTTAATGAACATTTCTAAATGTTTTTACATGTTTTAGGGGGGGGGGGGTACAAGTACAACGCTACATGTTTTATTATCAATTCATATGTGATTAATTTTTTTTTTATCAAAAAGAGAGATTTCTCTACATTTTTAGATACTTATCCATAAAACTGTTTTAACTAATTATCAAATGCGTTTTAAGACTAAATTTTTGTTTAACTACTTTCAAAATTACGTTTTTACTATTTTCCTTTATATATATATATGTATATACACACACTAGTATATTTATATAAGTAAGACTTGAAGGCCTTAGGACCGATAGCTCACCTTATTTCCTATTCTTGTTTGATGTGGTCTTAGGGTACTGGTTGTCCGTCCGACTGTCGTTGAATTCTTAGTTATATATCATTTATATTTGTGTTAGATATGAAAGTTTTTCATTTTATTCAATACCTTTGTTGATCATAGGTAGGAATTTACATACACTAGTTAACTATAATAGGTATAGTTAAGGCTACTGCTCCTTATCTCTACTACTACTATACTCACTATATCGGTTGATACTACAAGCTAATGCGAGTACAAGAGAACAATCTACTACTATACTCACTATATCTGTTAATACTACAAGCCAATGCGAGTACAAGAGAACACTCTACTACTATACTCACTATATCTGTTAATACTACAAGCCAATGCGAGTACAAGAGAACACTCTACTACTATACTCACTATATCTGTTAATACTACAAGCCAATGCGAGTACAAGTGAACACTTTACTTACTATACTACAACTCTACCATACTAAAGCATAAGAGAAGTCACTAATACAAAGAATATCACACTATCTCTCTATAAGGTACTCTACTGTACTTACACCATGTGACGAGGGCTTCCCGAAAGGAAAGCAACACTATATGTATAGATCTATACGAAACTGACACTATTGCATCCCGACTGTTAACTACAGTCAGGGCCGACTAGGCCAGGGGTGGTACTACATTACTTCACTACGCATGACCAGGAAGGTCATCGGTTCTCTACTACTTCACAATTGGTCACATGAGATGTTCAACTTACATTTAAAGAAAAACACTAAGACTTAAAGTCTGAACTAAAAATCCTGAAGTAATTAAAGATCTATTACTAACTAAAGTTACAACACTACTACTGTTAGTAAACATAACTTTACTTCAGCCATATTACTTACATGAGATTTATTTATACACTTTTACAATTGAAGGTTTCCACAACATTACTTGTACACACTAGAAAGATTGACTTACGAATGTACTTTCTGGAAAATATAGGATTTTCCAGGGATTTCTAGTACTCATGAATACAAATTTCAGTTTTATACTATAAGTTTGCATACACTTTTATACTACAATGACAGTAAACTCTTATGAACTCACCAACTTTATGCTGATATTCGTTTTCAAAATAACTTGTATCCTCAGGTCAAAGATAGATAGGTACAGGTCAGCTTTTGGAGAAGATGGAGCAGATACATGACTCATCTTTTATTTTGCTATACTTTTGGTTATACTTTTGGTGTCTATTAAACTTTACAGAACACAATTGTAACTATATTCACTATATACATATGAAATGGTTGTTGTTTCTTGTTTTTACTATTATGCAATTGTAATGATACTGTACATGACATCCTCCACCCCAAAACGTATTCCGCCGTTCTCGGTTTTGGGGTGTGACATAATCTTCTTTTTAAATTGGAGAAATTTGTAGACAAAGAAATCACATCCTTAAACTTATCTTTTATTTTGGCAGATTTACCCTTCCACCCTATTAAAAATGAAGAGTAATCACATGTTATCCCATGTAATGCTGCTCCACACTCCATCATCGATTCCTGTTCCAAAGTCCAAATGAGTCGAACTCAGGTTCTATCCTTTTCTCTGTTGTTTGTTCTTTTTCTTTTTGCTTAGTATCGTGTATAAAGAACTCATGTTTGTTAATATGCTTCGTTTGGTTTGCCACTGCCTCATTAGAAGTTTTTTCTTTTTGATGTTATAACTGAGAAAACTGAAAAAAGAGAAGTAGGATGCTAAAAGTAGATCAAGTATACCAAGGAAAATTCAAAAAAGAAAAGCGGGTTGCTAAATAGTATAATCGTCTTTTTGATGTTATTTTTGTGTCATCATTGAATTGGCTTACAAATAGAAACAAAGGGCTAAATATGAATTGGTTGTTTTAGCTAGCTAGTCCTAGGAATATGTTCATTTAGTTGTAGCGAAAGTCCTCCAGCCTGATGCTAAGTAGAAAATGTTTTATTTCAAATACCCAAAATGCCTTTGAAAAGAGACATAAGAAGAATATATGTGTATACATGAAGAAAGAGTAAAATAGGAAACACCCAAAACAAAACCAAGAGTACAACATGCTCTTCACAAGCCCCCTTAGTGTAATGCCCATGATTTCATACCAAGTACACCCCAAAAATTTCATTTCTCATTTTAAAATTTACAACAATTTTTGTGTACATTAGGACTATGGAATGTAAGTAGTTATCACAAAGATCGTACTAGCTTTAAGTACAAGATTGAGTCGGACATCACAATAATATACTTGCAAAATAAAGCATCACAACAACATAAGCCTCACAAGTTAGTGAATAATAACTACAATAACATAATCACATAAATCATATAATCATATAATAACTCATTTTCTTACATATGTAACAATTAATTTATATTAACTAGGGGTATTATTATAACCAACCTCTCAGTGATAATCTATTACTCATTCATAATCTATCTCTCAATCAATAATCTATCTCTCAGTCAATAATCTATTTCTGAATTGTGATCAATCTCTCGATCAATCATCTTTCTTGAAGGTTTTTATCGATTGGATATACTCAAGTATGAATAACAATGAATAAAAAAACTAAGCAAAGATTAAACAAAAAAACGAAAGAACACAAGTTATCACAAATATGCTTTCACTAAGAAAGAATGTTCTCAGTAAGAGAACAAGACGGTCACCAAGCCTTACATTAGGGTTCACCCTAATGTTGATTATATAAGATTACAATAATCGATATCCCACTAATTAAGGGATGTATACCTATCTATGTAAATGTCTAATCCCATCACTAAGATTAGGGATCCAATATCTATTTATATATATGTATATATATATATATATATATATATATATATATATATATATATATAGGTTCACGCTGATGCTGATAAGATCTTGTGCTGGCATTGGTGTTGGTGTTGATGTTGGAGCTAGTGATCAGCGTATAGTTTTTTACTTATCAAATCATCAGGTGTGATCTTATAATCTCCCCCTATATGATGATGTAAAAACTAATCTTTAATGGAGTCATCAAGGTCATCATTTGAAAAAGTTTCAGCTTCAGTTAAGATCTCAGGTTTCAACCAGTTGAAGTCATCAAGATGCAGATCAACAAGATGCTTACTGTGTTCAAAGGAAATCAACACATGATATCCTTTTTCAAGTTCCTTATATCGTATAACTTTTAGAAGAAGATTGAATAGATGTTCAGTTGGAGCATTAGGAAGGTCTTCAGTTCGTTGAAAGCACATTTGGTTCTGATTGTCAACATAGAAAATACCCTGTTCTGGTTCCTATATGAACATATGATGAGTTGGCCAAACACCCACTGACAGTTTGTTGTTGATGTAAGGAGTTCCATATGGAAGAAGAAACTTAGTGTATTTGGATATTTTGGGCTTTCTAGTTCTTTTTAAGGTGGATGGCTGAGATGGACTAGCTGAAGGTACTAAGTTCAACTTCTTGGTTTTGTTGATCAGGGTTTGGATAGCCAATTTTACCTCCTGAGCATGAACACCTTTATGTTTGGAAATAATCTCATGAATTTGTATCCACTTGCTATAGCTATATTTAACTAATTCACGAGAAAAATATAACTTAAGTGTATTCATATTCGACCTTTTTCCTGACCAGATGCAATTTTAGAGATTTATTCTTGGTTTTGGTGCATCTGACTTTGATGATGGGATTACGTTGATATGTTTGACCTAGAACATTCCTAAATTTATTCCAATTGATTCCATCATTCAGATCAAATACTATTTTGTTTGGCCATATCAACATTGAAACATTGAATATTTGTCTCTTGAGCATCTGGTGATGCAAGAATCTGGACAAGTTTAATAGATCGATGTGCATCTTTTTTTTTTGAACGATATCATTATGTTCCAACATAATTTCTCTGACCTCCTCAACTTTTATTTTCCAGTCTTTAGCTAAATCCTCCGAATCAACTGTCAGCTTGCCCTTTTTTGGGAGGAAGGCTGAAGAACCACCAACGGCAGAGGAACTTCCAGCTTCAGCGTCATTTGCCCCCCCTGAGAAGGAAGCCTTTTTTTTTCTAGGATTGACTTGTTCATCATCAGACTCAATGTAGCCGTTGGTACCTTGAGGAATCTCCCCCTCAAAATATGTATCAGGGTAAACAACATTTAAAGGAACAACAATTTGTGCCATAAAACCCAAATCAATAAACCCTTCATACTCATCAGTCCCAGACTGGTCATCGACGTATGAATAGGTTGTTCATCATTTGTTGCATCAACGACTGGAATGGGCTAATCATTGCTCTCTTATTCAACTACAACAATTGCTTTCTGATTATCATCTCTTTCTTATTCAGAAATTTTAGGATGAGATGGAGTTGTTATATTCATCATTAGTTCTTGATTACTCTCCCCCTTTTGGCATCATCAGTTTAGGGAGGGGAGTCATGAGGTGGAGAGGGAGTGCAGGAGGGGGATTTGATGGTGGAGGTGGAGGTGGAGGCGGATTTGATTATGTAGGTGAAGGTGGAGGATTATTGCTTAGACAACTAGCAGAAGTGTATTCAATCATCATATCATCATCATCAACAAAAGTAATTGAGCTCAACCACATCTTTCTCTACCTTGGACAGTCTTTAGAGAGCTGGGAGAACACAGTAGTTTGAAAGTTGGAACTAGACTCCTCCTGAATAGTAGAAGAGGTCTAAAGAGGAGTTGGCATTGGGGGAACAGTCGTCTTTGTGCTGATTAAAATGCAAAGAGACTAATTACAAATTTGGTCCCTAGAGTTATAGCAACTTATGGTTTTAGTCCATACACTTTATCTTGTGTTTATATTCGGTTGGATACTAATCACTACTCGATGCTCAAGAATGAGACTACTAATTCAAACAGGTCTTGTCCATGCATTTCATCGAACTAGTTAATATGTATGTAAAAAACTTCGGCTTTGTTCAAGAAGTGGAAGCTTGTGCAAATGAACTTAAATAGAGCTTTTAGGATTGACAGACAAAGAAAATGAGAAAAACCCAATAAATACCTTTCTTTCGGTATAGATGGTTGTTGAACACTTCAAATAGTTTTATGATCTTTGTATTTCACAAACTTAATTACCCTTTTAACTTGTTAGAATACACTAGATACATGCACTGCACCATGCGGTGGGGGTGAGGTGGCACAATCGGGAAAATCTAAAATAGTGAGGGTTAATTTATTTCCTAACACTTTCTTCCAGAGTAACATTTAAGGAGGGAAGGGAAAGAAAGTGGAGAGAAATGGGGAGAAAAAAAAGAATACTAAGTGTTCCCTAGAATTTTTTTTTGGAAGGAAGTTGAAAGAAGAGAAATGATCTTGGGGGATAATATTACTTTGAAATTGTAGAAATTTGTACAGAATGAATAAATCACATCCTTAAACATATCTTTTATCTTGGCAGATTTACCCTTCAACCCAATTAAAAATAAAGAGTAACCGTCTGTTACCCCATGTATGCTGCTCCACACTCCATCATACATGGCTTCCATCATCGATTCCCATTCCATAGTCCAAACGAGTCAAACTCAGGTTCTATTATTTTCTATCATTTTCTCTGTTGTTTGTTCTCTTTCTTCTTATTGTTTTTTATCATGCATAAGGAATTCATTTTTGTTAATATGTTTCGTTTGGTTTGCCACTGCCTCATTAGAAAATTTTATTTTTGACGTTATAACTAAGAAAATTGAAAAACGGGATGTAGGATGCTAAAAAGTAGATCAAATATTCAAAGGAAAAATTCAAAAACAGCAAAATGCTAAAAAGTATAATCCTCTTTTTGATGTTATTTTAGTGTCATCATTTAATTAGCTTACAAATAGAATTAAATGGCTATACATCAATTGATTTTTTTGGCTAGCTAGTCCTAGGAATATGTTTGCTTAGTTGTAGCGAAAGTCCTTCAACCCGATGCTAAATAGAAAATGTTTTATTTCAAAGGGAAAATTTGCATATATATATATATATATATATATATATATATATATATATATATATATATATATATATATATATATATATATATATATATATATATATATATATATATATATATGAGTAAATTACTGAAATCGTCCCTAAGGTTTGGATCAAAATTGCGCGTTTGATCCCTAACTTTTGTTTTTTGCACTCGGATCGTCCCTATGGTTTGATTTTGTTGCGTTTTTCGTCCCTATGGTTTGGTCTAAATTGCAGGTCCCTAACTTTATGTATGTAAGGGATGAAAAACGCAACAAAATCAAACCACAGGGACAAAAAACGCAACAAAATCAAACCACAGGGACGATCCGAGTGCAAAAAAAAGTTAGGGACCAAACGTACAATTTTGACCAAACCATATGGACGATTTCAGAAATTTACTCTCTCTCTCTCTCTCTCTCTCTATATATATATATATATATATATATATATATATATATATATATATATATATATATATATATATAGTTAGGTTCATATATAAACCATAACTATTGTGTGAATGTATGGCTAAATCTCAACCAATCATTTGAGAAGGGTATAAAAGTAATTCAATTATATTTAATTATGGTAAACTAATTAATTCCTTAATAATTTTCCTAATATATTGTATTACCCGTATTTATCCAACCCTTTTTTTCGCCCAATATTTCCTCCTCCATCTAGAGTCTCCCCTCCGGCAACATAAGTCATCGAACCCTCATATCTAGCAGCAAAGGTCCATAATCAGCAGCTCCCCTTTAGAAACAGAAAACCATTCCATCGAGACAAAAAGTTGAAATGGTGTTTGGTCCACTTCTTTATCACGGTAGATTTCATCATCAGGCATTGGTCGACCATCATCGACATCTCCGTCATTCTCAATCACTGACACACTCCGACATCTTCACCATTCTAGACCACAGACATAATGATGACTAATCACCTGCCCAATCAGGTGTAATCACCAACTCTGTGATCTCTAACGCTTCTTAAAAAGTTATCGATGTTGTTATGGTAATGTTTGTTGATTCCAATTCATTATCTAACGAAGGTAAATCCAACTCTCTAAATAAATTTTCTATGAATTATGTTATAAGAACATTAAAGAAGGTAAACCCACCACAGGCTCGTAATAAAAGATTTCCTCCGTACCAATATCTCAACTCACTTCTATTATTGGATTAATGGAAATGTAATTAGATATTATAGATTACAAAAAAAAATCTAAAAAAATCTAAAAGAATATAAATTTTATTATTTTATTACTTGTTGATGTTAGTCTTTCTGAGATATTTTTGATTCATTTTTTTATATGTCAAATTTGTCTTGCAACTGATGCAACTATGTTTTTAAATTGGAGTGTGGTACAACATCAAACAATTTCTTACTGTTTGAATACAATTGACCGAATTTTTCTTTTCCTCTTGTTATGCTTATTATTAATACTAATTACGTTCAAGTCTTTACAGCGAAGCAAGAGGTCTAGCTTATTCAAATTGCTTTTCATGGCCCTTTCTAATTTTCATCCTTTTCACATGCTGCATGGAGAAGTTTTTTGATTTGTTGAGGCACTTGGAATCGTTTCGGTCAACAATGGAAGAGTTTATTGCCAATATGTTGCATCAATATGTGTGTGTGTTATGTATTCAGAATTTTATGTTACATGTTATTTGTGATTTTTGACATCCAAGGTCAAAATGATAGAGTTTACTGTCATTGGTTATCGATTGGAGAAAGTGGAAATGAAAAGAGTTTTAGACAATTTATTCTTCAAGAATTCTTCGGTTGTATAATATATGCGTTGTATTACAGACCTATAAGTCAAATCTTATTCTTCAATTCTCCAAGAATTCGTCAGAAGACATTGGTAACTGATATCAATCAGAAAGTTTTAGACATGGTCTTATTCAAGCATTCTTTAAGAATGTTTGGATTCTCTAAGAATTAACATTTGTATAACAAAATTTTTGGTGTTAAAAACCTACAAATCATCATACTAAATCCAAAACAATTGAAATATTTTTAAAGAATTTATAATATGTAGTATATCATATTTTTCAAAAGAATACAAGCACAATAAATAACAAAATCAAAACGAAAAGAACTGATGTATTCTTAAAGAATTTCAAATATGCAGAATTTAATATATCATATTCTTAAAGAATGCATAAATAATAATAAACTTAGAAAAAACTTCAGCCGATTTTACCAATCATATTAAAAGATACTATAAATAATTTAAAATATAAAATACATAGCTTTATTTTTGAAACCTATTTAAATTGCATCTCATATTATCCTCACTTTCCATAAATTATTGTTAACCCATTGGACTAATTTACACTTACTATTAATTAGGTGTGATTATATAATACATGTTATCTCACGTTAATAACATGTACCCTAAGATCATAACTCTTCAGTTCGTTGAATCTAGTGAACCAAAAATGATCATACATTCACACTATATTTGTAGTTCATATTTAATCCTAACCCTATATATATATATATATATATATATATATATATATATATATATATATATATATATATATATATATATATATATATATATATATATATATATATATCCTTGCAAACTCTAAATATTACTTCAATATCCTTATACACTTTGATATTACATGTATATTCTTCCAAAACTATAAAAATTACATCAATATCAAAAAATCATATTTTATTTAAGATTATATCAAATTTTATAATTTTTTTATCTAATATTCTAAATTATATATTGGTTTACCAATTTACCCTTTCCTAATTAAATCCTAAATTAAATCACAAGGCACATACGTATATTAATTCCAACAGATAAACTATGCGAATATATAACCAAATGAACATTCAAATATTAATTTGATATTTTGAAACCAAGAAAGACAATCCAAAGTGAAATTAAGTAAAAATGCATAACCTTAAAAGCACTAAATGCATTCAAAAATTAATCTTTAAAACCTTATTCGGATATCCTAAGTTTGACTTTTATCAAAATCAGTAGAGATAGATCAGATAGATACAAACATGCACTTAAAATTAAGGTTTCATGTTCCCAAATACTTGTTTAAGCTAGAAATAGTTCAAATGTGTCCCACAACTTGCAAAATAAACATAAAAACAAACATATTCAAGATCACAGGAAGGTGGGGATTGGAGCCATTGATTAAAATTGGGTATGCAAAA